CGTCTGGCTCTCCCTGCCTCTCCCCGGCCGATCTGATTCGTTGAATCTCTCTGAATCAGCGCCGAATCTTCTGAAGCCAATTCAGCTGAATCGATTCAGGACAGTTATCTGAATCTCTGAATCAAATCACTGTCCTCCAAATCCGAATCAAATACTTCCCTATTTGCACAGGCCTACTGGCTATATTTTAAGGAGGCCCTGTTAAGGGTACAGGAGCAAGCTGATGTGATAAAAGAATGGGAAATGCAACAGAAGGCCAGCCTGGCTAGGCAGCAAGCTCTTCAGTTAGTTGAAACTTAAAAAGGAATCCTATAAAAATAGCTTGGTCATAGTACTAGGGAGGAATATAAAGAGCATCACATGGGCATGTAGAGAAAAAATTAGGAAAGCCAAGGTACAATTTGAGATGCAGCTAGCAAGGCACATAAAAGGCAACTGTCTCGGACGGCAAGAGCCGACTCGAGGTGATCCAACAATTACTCGTTCTTTGGGCGGGCTGGTGAATAGAGAGGTGGACAAAGCTTAATGGTTGCAAAACTTTACTTACGCCGCTTGTAGCTATGACGCAGACGGTCCAGTCGTCTGAACAACTATGTTAGTTGTTCCAGCTGGCAGGGCTCAAGCTAGCTCGTCCGTCCACAAATCAAGCCGGCGGGGAAAGGGTACATCGGGGATTGCACTCGGCGACGGGGAGAAGAATCGATAGGTGATCAGTCTATCGATCAGCTCAGCCGCAAGTCAGATCTCTTTAGAGGCACTCTGCAGCGTGCTCAAAGTTCTCCGACTTGGGCGGAAGTCGCACGAAATTTTAAACGGCTAGCAAGCCAATGACTAGCCGCCACGTAGGAATAATTTAGAACTGGCCAATAGCGGGACACAAATTTGCATTCAAATGGCGGGAACTCTCTTGCACCGGGGGTTTTCTGTTGCAACAAAACCTTTGCTGTGCAAGAGGCTCTCATGTGGCAGGAAAATTCCATCGTGCCAAGGTACCAAAATCACTGGGTTGTGACAGCAACAAAAAGGGATTACACACGTATATCAAGAGCAAAACCATAGGAACCATAGGTCTCTTAAATGTGTACTTAACAAATTTGCAGATGATACCAAATTAAGTGGAGCTGTAGATACCTGGAGGGTAGATCTAAGATCCAGAATGACCTAGGTAGACTGGAAAAATGGTCTGCAATCAACCAAATAAAATTCATCAGGGGACAATTGCAAAGGACCTATTGCACTTGGGTGAGAGTAATTGCA